CTTCTGCGCTCTGTGTATGGCAGACAGCAAAAGAGGGCTGTCTGTGGCCATTTCCGTTAAATGAAGAAATTAAAAATATCTATTTTCTGGTCGATTTCGTCATCACTTTTTTTATTCACATGTAAAGATATGTGGAGGTTCCAGGAAATGGCTGTTCATAATATCGTTGGACTATAAACAAGTGAGTTTTGTAATGCGCAGAAAATTTTTTAAGTAGCAGATATGTACATCATAGCCTGTGAGACTGATCTGATGCATTAAATGGCATTAGCATTTTGTGGGATTTTTTCAAGTGTCTTCATTAGGATTTATGATACGCTTTTTATAGATTCACGGAAACCTTAAAACCTTCTTTTTTACCCATAGAGATAAGTGTTCAAATCAGGGTGCATTTGGCTATGCAAATGACTATCTTATGTACATTTGGCAGGTTAGAAAGTTCACTTGAATTTCCACCCACCCGTAGGTCGTAAAATGAAATCTCATCGAAAGAGGAATTTATACTTGACATTTCACTGAAAATGGATTAGCAGTCTTCGTTAAAAATAGGGTTAAATTGACGTGTGAATCAGTGGTAATCCTCACACACAAAAGAATAAATCATCACTGCTTGGTCTAGAACGTTTGTCGAAAAAAAACTGTTTCACTCAATAGGTGGCAAATTTCATTGTTTTAGATATGTCATTAAAATCGCCATCACACCCTTTATGAACAAGCAAGCCAAGTGCACTTTTCATAAGAGGCCCCAATTTTTATCCTTTTAAATTATTGGGCCTTTTAATTTCAAATTTAGTGATATATGAAAGCTAATAAAAAACAACAATAATAAAAAAATCATTCTAAAGGTGTTATTTTTTTGTGAGTAATATTAGTTTATTAATCTCTACATCTCTCAAAGACGAAAGTTGTTTGGATGAATCTTTTTCATCTTCATCCATCCGTCCATCTTCATTTCCATATTCCTTTTATTTTTGGTGTAGCATGCACCCACAAAAACTTTGATTCAAAGATATGATTCACTGAAGGAAAATTTTCAGTGACCCCCCTGACAATTTCGTGACCTGTTTTCCTTAAAACACAATTCAAAAGTACTACTATATCAGACTTTCTTCAAGGTTTAGGCCCACCAGAGTAGTTCACGTTCCTTCTCTCTCTCTTGCCATTGACCCTTTTGTGGGTTGCAGCTCCAGTTTAAGCCAAGTACTGATTTCCGCTCATTAGAGATTAAAATAAAATGGAACCCTATGTTTATTTTCCTCTCAACCATAGAGAAAAGCGTTCCGTAGAATAGTTTTTTTTAGTTCAGGACTGATCGTGTTTACAATCGGTTGATTAGGATAGAGAAACCGAGTGCTGTCCAGGGAAACTGAGGAGAGCGCTCCGCTTCTTGAATGAGAAAGGGTGGGGCCTATAAAAACAGTTACATAGGACTTGAGTAGAGACTGAATTGCAGACTTGCCTCACACACTGCCAAGTTCTTAATTCTACTGTCTAATCATTAAGACCGTCAGCCTTGCTTCATCGTCAATTTACACTCATTGGTCTTAAGAGTCGCGTCAAATCTTCTTTCCTGAAGAAATAGAATTAACGAGGTTACTCGGTAGCAAACTAAACGTAAATTAGGTAATTAGTTAACGTGGCTGGTAACAGGAAATTTTAAAATACATTACTTAACCTTCACTTAACTTTTGGGAGCTTTAGGAAAAGCAAAGTTTTTATTAATTTCCTGATTTTGTGAAAGGAGAGTAAACTGCCTAGGTCCTTCATTAAATGAACACTGGTTTGCTGTTTTAAGGATGATAATAATCCTCGGTGAAAGAAGTGGATGTTTTGTGATTTGAAAGGATTTTTTTTAGAGGGAAGCCAAATATACGAGATCATCCGACTAATAATAGCTTTTCCTTCCATAGAATAGACTCCACTGAGCAGTGGACAAGATTACCCTCGACCTACACAGCATAATCCTATCGAGCTCATTGATTTGAAAGTGATAATAAACATCGAGGACGAATATGTACCAACTGAGTCAAAGATATCGAAAGACGTAGTTAAGTTATTTTTTTGCGTTTACGGTATGATGCCCTTAATTACTGAAGGAAAAAAAAGAATGGAGAAAACATATTCAGGTGGCAAAATCATTCAGCTCTGTTTAGTGTGGGAAGATAGAGAATTTTTAGGCTAGAGTTTGTCTTGGTAGGAAATGGGTGAATGTTTACTCCTGCAGTTTATGTGGGCTTGTGATCACGCTCGCAGCGGGGTCAACCGCCTGCGTTTCCTTCATGGAAGGTCTGATTTACGATCTGTGGTAGGTATGTTTTTCGGAATGTCTGGCGAGATTGATAACAAAAATCTTAAGAAAAAGTACATCAAAACACAGCAATAAGCTCTGTCACTGCCGTCCAAGGAATAAAACTTTGTCTATGATTTTCGGCCGCAAAATAAAAAAATTAAAAACAAATTGTCTTGCCGCAAAAGAAACAAAGCTTAAGAAAACGTTCATCTTAACTGTCCGACCTTAATCGATTGTAAAAAAATACATTATGCATCACAGTACATGCCCGTTAGGGGGAGAATAACCAAAGCAATCATTCGGATTATCATCAGGAAACGGTTGAAATGGACGTTTCATCGCAGCAATAACAACTAGTGGATAAGATAAGCGACAATGATGGAAAAAATGAAAAGAATCAATTAAAGAATGGTTTGAGGAGTAAGATATATACCCAACATAAAATGCCAAGAGGGAGATACGGCGAATATTTGGATGGTTGTTATTCAATAAACCATGAAGATATTTTGGTCATAAACCCTTAGCGTCCAAAGGAAGAATCATGATATTAATCAAGATGACTTTTCGAAATATTTAGATTAGCAGATTTGGTAATGGTTTTTTGCGGTGTAATTAAAAATTATCGTTGATCTGTCGGCCGTAAATGTTTCCTGCAGACTGTTGCAAGAGTTCATTGGATACACACACAGCAGCGAGTGAATAAATTGCGGCAAATGTGCAAAGGAAAACGATGAATAAAAACTAAAATTGAATTGTTTTTCGCCAAACACAGCATGCCTGGAACAGACTATACGTACATGTCAAGTTTGATCATCTCAGCTGAACTGCTCGTTAATGTATTAGTTTATCTTAAATTATGTCTTCATTTCGGAATTGCTCAGATTTCACGCCGTCCAATTAGTTGGATTACGCTTCAAGTCAAGAAAAATGTATCTACATGTTATGAACTAAAGCTCACTTTACTCATGTCAGTTGAACACGTCCCTAAGCAAAAAGAAAGCTCGATATTGCTACTGAAATGACTGGAATTAATATGGGAGCAGTTATTGAAGCACGAAAGAGAAAAAAGTTTTGGGTATACTACAAGTCTTTCAGACTGATTTTTAAAACAAATTTAAGTGTGGTTCAAGAGGGTACCCAAGTGTAGTATTCTTTATCTCGCTATTCGTTAATTATTTTAATTTTTTTATATCTCAATTTGTTAAACGAGAGGATCACGTGCTCCCATTACAATTATAAGGCCTCCATTTCTGAACTAGCTCAATTCGCCCTTGCACTCCACGGGCTTGGAAGCTTTGGGTTATCTTATCAGGAACTATAGACAACGAAAGAATGAGCTGCCAGAATTCGTGCTGTAGCAAAGGGCCACTTTGAGCTGGAAATGACGCGCGTAGTACTGCGCCCCAAATTAGTTTAATAAGTTTTGTTTCCATCAAACAATTCTTCCCAAAAAACTTCCCTTGTCTCATTACTCCTCACAGCATGCAGCAGGTCCTCTGACATTGCAACCTATCCGCCGATAATTTGTCATGATTCATCTAAGATTAAGCCTAGCATCTATGGCAGAGACTTAATCTTGTAATAAAGAAAGCTTCTGTGACGTTTTTCTTGTCAAGACTCGTCCAATATAAACAAAAGGTAACAGGTTCAAGGGATATGAGCAGACACCGCGGCATCCCCTTCGACTTTTAAAAAAAAATTGGATTCCCACTGTGCTTTCAGATTTCCTAGAGAGTGATCTTATTTTAATTTGCTGTTGAAAATTAATCTGTTTAGTTAACTATTGCTTCTTCACAAATACCCAGTGACTTCCAACAGACTCGTTTAGAACACTTATCACGTTCGATATCATTTTCGTTGGACTTGTCCCTTTTAATCATCAATCGATCATCGTTAATTCACATGTCTCAGTGACAACGAATTTACTTTACCCAGCCTCGATTCGCATTTAATAAGCCGTGTGTTGAAATTAGCGTAAATGTGATTCTTGTAGTCAAGGAGGCAATTACACTTTCAACGTTTTATTCACAAATTTACAATGTTTGATTCACTTAAACATAAGATGAGGAAAAAAGTGAATAGTGTGATTGCCCGAGGGCACTTGAACATTGCATCGGGAAATACTACAGACAGTCGTCTTTGCTATTTTTATAAATATGTCAAGGTTGAATGTGTTGAAACAGATCGCACTGCCTTAGGCATTTGTTTTTGATGCTATAAAGCATGCAAAGCAGTTATTCAAGAATTCGTTTTATTTTAAAACAGCATTGTATAATTCGACCTCAATTCTACCGGGTGTCCTAATTAATTCTAAATTCCATCAATATAATCATGCTTTAGTAAAATTTTTGGCCTCACTTAATGTCATTTACAAATGCGAGAAAAGAAGGTAATTGAGTTTGCTGTCTTGTTATTCAAATAACAATACATCAAATGAGATATTCCTGATCATAATTTAAGGTTAATTTACGTTAATTTGTTGAAATTAGGAGATGCGGAAAATCTGTTATTTGTGACAAAAACAATTTGTCAGTATCACCTTCTTGTACACAATATTCAGTTTACCTTTAAGAGATCCGTTGCTTCGATTTAAAGGTTCTAAATTAATGGCTGAATTAGTTTAAGAATCTAAAGATAGTCGACCCAGCTTGAAGGAATTCATGAGGGTAATCCATACTAAAAATTGTGCGAATGACAACTACAATCCTAATAAGAGATTTTTGTCTATTTATGCTGCTCTTCAAACTTTGCTTTACAGTGTACTGCCTTATCCAATAAACTAACTTAAATCATGTCTTAATAGCATTACATTATCACAATAGAGGAAAGTATCCATTTAAATGGATTATTTTAAATCAGTCAAGAAATGTGATGTGAATTTTTGCAAATGTTATTCTATTCTACTCAAAGCAGAATTTTCAAGCCTTTTCATTTCTCCATTCCTCATTCTCGGCCTCATCCTCTAGATCAAAAACAGTATTTGACTAAACGTTTTACTTCTTTGAAACTAATAATGAAGAGGAAATTATAAACTGGTGAAAAGTAAAAAACGCCGGTAACTTGAACCAAAAAGGAATAACAGAGAATTATCTGAAACCAATGGGTGCGTTGCATGAGAAACTTAGAATAGGCAAACGCCACAAGGCAAGAAAAAAACTTGGAAGTGATAAGTTAGGCATACAATGTGATTTCCGACAAAAATAAGACAAGAGGTGATTTATTTTCTAATATAATTTATTTATGCATTTCAAGCTCCCTTGAATTCCATCCATATGTTTTATTTACTATACAATCATTACATATATTAAACGATTTTATATCAAATAAAGCAACATTTTCTTTGGTTAAGATGACCCAGTAGCCCCTTTTCTCGCTGAGCCTCAAGAAATTTAAACTTACTAACAAATATTTATATAGACTTGCACAAGATGACAATTTCAGTAGCGTGTACTCCGATCAGAGCTAAAAGGAATAATCTAGACTAGTTTGGTCCTAAAATTATTTTTACACTTTATCATGAGATTAAATTCGCATCACAATACAGCTTCCTTATCTATTCATATATAACATTACCATTTTATTAACTATTTACACGTTAGTAGAGATCGAAGACTCTATCAACAATATATTATATGAAGTTTAGGCTTAAATGTTTCTATTTATAGTAACATTCTGTAAAGCCCTAGTTTGAGAAGGCCTCATGTAAAACACTGTGAAGTGAAGCAATCGAAATTAGCTAAATAAGTAAAAGATGTAGAGTGACGTGTATTCGTTCTGTAATAGCAAGAGTTTATTACCTCTTGGTGATAGTAAATATTTTACCGAGTTTGTGATGTCACTGAAAATAACAAAAAAAGGTTTGTAAGTAAATATGCAAATGCATATTTATTATTTGCCGGTCTCGCATTCCATCTTTTAGGTGGAATGCGAGCATTGAACGAAAGGTGTGAAAATCCAGTTAAAATGAACAACAACAAAAACAAAAAAAAAACAAGACAAAACAGCATTCAGTTAAAAATCGAAGAAAGCATTTCATACTATTCGGCTGTTGAATGATGCTTGTTAAACTTTATGATCTGCATTTGAAATCAAAGTGTGTGACTATTCAAAAGGAAGAAATCTTATGCAAAACTACCCAACAAGCTGCATAGGTTTCTAATTTAAAAACTATTAAAAGCTGCTGAGCAAGTATCCCACATCTAAAGCTTAGAGTCAAGGAACAAAAAACAAGTATTACTCTGAAAAGAAGACTGAACGTTAAACCTTGGACTGAGAGGTTAAAAGAACAGAACAGAGTCAGTTTCGACAGCAATGATCATTGAACAACAAGGTACAATTTCAAATAACTGCCTCGTACTAAAGCCGGAAACTTCTAGCGTCGAATGGTCCGGCTTAAAAAGTCCACTGGGTTGAATCTATTCAAAAACTCACGTAAAGTAACACCAGACACTTCACTAAACGAAAACAACCGAGAAGCTGTAACCCACACTGTGGTCTGCTTTTAGACAAAATTTAGGAAATATATCGCTTTTAGCCCGTAAACAACAACTCGTTAGAGCTTATTTTCTAAACATTCGTGCAACAAGGCAACGGACTCTGCATTCTTGCGGTTCAAACATGAACGAGCGTTCTTATTTTCTCCACATAATGCTCTACCTCACAGAAAGACTTTCATCAAATCCTAAAAGGTTTTGCGTACTAATTCTAAAGAAAAACAGGTTTAGTTTCATTAAAACGAACCTTTTAGAGGATTCCAAAAATAAAGCTAGCATGATGATCCCTAAATGCGTTTCGGAAGAATCGATACTCTGCCATTCGAATCTTATTATATGGTAAACAAGTTTTCCTTTTCTTTAAGACAATGCAAGGATTACTGTCAAGGAATTGTATTCCAGAATAAGCTATTTATCTAAACTAATTGGTTTTATCAAAAACCTGGTATGTTAACGTAGTTCTTTTTTTCTTCTGCTTTATACTTGTTTCCTGCCTACACGGGGTTTTGTGCCCTTTGAAACGATCTCTAAGACGTATGACTAGAGCTTTATCTTGGTGCCATCGGATGCATATGCGCATGCTCTAAAGGCATGTAGGATCCACCGTTTGGACTTGAGCAGTAATACGGAGGGGGTGGTGGTGGGGGCATGAAGGATGGATTTGCAGTAGACATTGCCATGCTGTTGTTAATGACGGCGTGGGATGGGTACGTGGGCATTGGCCTTACAGAGTCGTGCGCAGGGCTCCAGATATTCCCACTGCAGCTGGCGTACCTGCATGGCGATGGGCCCGCCTGTGAGGAATCTTTGCTTACAGTTGGCGTTTTTGGCTTGGGTTTAGGTTTGGGTTCCCCTTTGCTCTGTTGTCGTACTTTGGCGCGTCGGTTTTTAAACCACACCTGTTCATAAACGAAAAAAAATAAACATAGAATGCCGTTTAATTGCAAATGGCGCCTGCGAAACAAGTGGAACGCAATTGTTGTCTAGCGTTTTGTTTGTTTTGTATCCAGTGGCGATTTACGTTGAGTAGCAATAGCATTTTGTAAAGATAAGTAGCAGAAAAATAACGAAAGCTCGATTTAGAAGGTTTAGGTAAAAAAGTTAGTATTACTACTCAAATAAAGTCAATAAAGAAGTTCGGAGGTTTATATTAACATTTCAATCAAGTTTTGGCGCAAACTCCTGCTGTTCCGCGTGAGCGTGACTTTCGGGAAAGGTCTTAAGTAGTTTTCTCTGGAGAGTTTCAGTTCCTAATAAATACAATATAAAAAGGAGACACTCCTCATACAACAAACGCACGCAAAACGGAGGTCAAGCGCACCGTCTCGACATAGAAACAAACACGCGATCTCAAACCTCACGCACACTAAATATGACGAGACATTCTTCTTTCACTAAATAAAATATGCTCGATACATTGCTCTGTGTTGACTTTCTACAAGCCTGCCTTTGTCAAATAAAATATATTTAACCTTAGTATCATTACGTGAGAACAGATGAACCGTATGAGGGCGTGAAATTCCTTGACACTACATTCGTGTGTACGTACACAAACCAGGTGTGTACCCTTAAATGATAAATACTCGGAAGTCAAAATATTTTAATATAATTAGAATTTACACCTGATCAAGTAGAAGCTGAGCGAACCACAACGAATTTTTCAGTTTGAAATTGGACGTTAAATGAATGAATTAAATATTCTCTTAGGAGGGTCTCGCATGAAGTTTAATTTGTAAAAGGTTTTCTTTTCGTTGCTAAATTTGTATTTTGGACTGGTATATAAAAGTAATGGAATAATTTTTGAGTCATGTTCCTGTCTTGTACTTAAAAGTGCTCTATTCAAACAACTTTGGTGGCAATTTAGACCTTCCAAGTATACGAACACGAAAGAATGAAGAAATAAGAAAAAGCTTCTATTCGTCATACAAAAGACAGATGGTGATTTGGAGAATTTTTCGGTGTTGGACCCCGTTTTGGTCAGTTGTTTTGAATACGTCTTCACAAAGTTGCTTTTAGCGTTTGAGTTGTTTTTTAAAGTTATAACACCTAATCAAATGCGACTTGACAGACCGCTTTTAAACCATCACACGTAACGAATAAAAACCAAATGAAAGCTTCCAAACCCACAACTGGTGATACACTTTAATAGGGCCGGAAAAATCGGAAAACATTCTATCCTTGTTGCCAATTTGTGGTGAAGAAACAATTGATGTCGTCTTTTATAAGTTGTCCACCTTCTCTCATTCAATCACGTACTTCTACCATTGCTTTAAGCGGTGAGAAACGAATGCTAGTGTTTGTACTTTGAAATTAAAAGTCTGAAGTTCAATTTTGTAAAAACGATTTATTGTTGGTAACAGCTGCTCATGCTTTAAAACACATGAAACAAGTTGAAACTTTGTCACCGCGAAATTCTAATGAACCAGGAAAATGTTTTTCCGCTGCTAACGCAGATTTGAGACAGTTTATTAGCGTCAAATGATCAACCAAAATCAAAGGAAACTTTTGCAAGGAAAGAATTCAAGCACATTCCATGCTTGATGCCAAGGGGGCAAACCCGTCAGTTTCCGAAACTAAGGAAACGCAATGAAAATAGTTAGTATGGGTCAAACTCTTTTTTTTTTAGAAAAAGTTCCTTAAACCGTCCCTCGTTTGTAGAACGAAAGGGAGAAAAGAAAGAGAACACATTGGTGGTGATTTCATGCAAGTAATTTACAGCCCACTCCTATCAAATCCCTTTCGTGTCGAACTTTAAACACCTTCGGCCCCGCCTTGTTAGGTAAGACTTTTTCCAGAATAAACTTCAAAAAGATTCTCAGTTCAGTTCAATCATTTAAATGAACACGGAAGACAAATATTTTCTGTTTTTCCTGTGGTGGTTAGTTTTCAAACATTCCATTGAAGTAAAAGATGACACGATTTGGGTTTTGCCCCCGATTAGCGCATCACTTGACAAATAAATTTTCTGTCATCTCAATTCTTAACTGAAGAGTTTATGTTCCTAGTCGCGCAGTTGTTAACTGATTCTTCATTCTGAGAAAAAAAAAATAACTATGCTCTGAATTACCTGCACTCTTGATTCTGGTAGGTTTATTTTCATGGCAACTTCTTCTCTCATGAAGATATCAGGGTACTTTGTCTTTGAGAATAGTTCTTCCAAAATTTCAAGTTGAGCCTTAGTAAATGTGGTCCTCTCTCTTCTCTGTTTTCTTGGATAACCTGAAAGATTGAGTTCCATCAACTCTACAAAATGCCTGAATCGTTTTATTGCCGCTTAAACTAGATCCAGCTCAGCATTAAAATACTGAAATGTGTTTATCCTCTATAATCAACGAAATCTTTTATTACAGCAATAAAGTTCGACTTTAGGATTTGCCCTCAGACCGAACCAAGTTTACATGGTGGATTACACAGTCGCTTTGGCTTCATTTAGTTGTATTTATGAAACAAATTTGTCTACATCAAACTTTGTTCAACTTTTTCCTTTGTGGTTGAATTTGCGTACAATCTGTGTGGGGAATTGAGCCTACCTTTAATTTGCCAAAGGAATTCGACTAGCTGTAGTTTGAATATCAAATGTAAAAAGTGAGCTATTTTCATAGCAGAATAGAACGAGTTTATAAGTTTGCAATGACGATGGCGAATTTTGGCAAACATTTCAAAGGTATTTGAAACCTTTTCATTGTGGTGTTTTTAACATGTTTTTTGTTGTTTTATCGTCTCAATGGGACGATATTTCCGTTCTCATCATAGAATTAAACTTTAAATAAATTCATCATTTTAATGCCCGAGCAATCATTCAAAGAAACTGCTCTTTAAGGAATAACATAAGTTAGTCTCCAAACAAATAACTGAAAATCAGTTTGGTTGTTTTCCAAGGGGAAAAATGCTTCATCCTCTCCCACTTGCAAATTGTTCTCGCAGAACACATTTTCGTTTGGAAATCGGCCCAGCTTAAAAAGTGTTTGCGCCCACAAATCCTGTGGGAACGAAAAATCACGTCGTGTTCTTCCTGAACAAGATAAGGAATGATTTTAGCCATCTTAACAGGAATCAAACTTGATGACTAGATCTACAGCGCGGAAATTTCCTATGGTAGATAAATGAAACAGATGCCATCATGTCTCATTAACGAAAACATCTATCCCCAACTTTAGAAGTAAGAAAGTATCAATTTATTACTTATTATTCCTAGATAAAAGTTTTAGGATAGTTTTGGATGTGCTCGCGTTTTTGCAAAGAGCCTGTTACAAGTTCTAAACCCACACATCTGGGAGGTCTCGCCAAACTAAATAACGTCCAGAAATAGCACGAGTAAAATAATCGATCGATCAAATAGCGTTCTCAAAAAATATGCTAAACCACTAAACACGGCTCATGGTGAAGAAACTAGTAGTGTGGCAGTCTTAGATAATTGTTATATTCGACCAGGGCTTTACTCCGAGGGTTTTTTGGTTCTGTGGAGAGTGACAAGACCATTGTTCCCATTTTGCGTCTAAAAATAAAGGAGGCCTACCATACGGCGGAGCGACCATAGGAGAAAACATGTCCGCGGTCCGCGGAGGCATGTTTAGACCGTTGACTGGGTACGGTGGGTAATGATTCAGAAAGCCCGCCATCTTGAATTCCTGGTGTAAGCTATGGAGTGCGTTGTACGCCGTGTGCTGCGGATGCAAATGAAAACACGAAATGATCAGCTCAAGGCTTAGACGCACGACCTTCTTTACCAATTTGGCCCCTTCGAGACCCCCTGCAGATCATACCTGTCAAAGATATTAATACAAAAAGACGGGACAGAAAATCCGCTTGATAAAGGACTCTTCCTGAAATTCAACATAATAAAAACAAGCCCGTCAAAGCTACACCCAGCCGGATTATAGTACCCGGGTCAGAGAAAATATGCACGCGATTAAGTGGGCAAACTCTGGACTGCCTAGAAACTGCCGTTCTAAGCCACCGAGTGTAGCTAGTGAGGTTGAATGCTTTTTCAGAACACAAATCGAATGTAGGATAACTGTTGCTATTTTTCTAATTTGGGACAATGTGGGAGGTCGTAACATTTGCAATGGAAGCCAAATAGGAAGCCGTGTGGTTGTGAAATGAAAAATTCATATTCAGTAGATTAAAATTAACTCTTTGTCACGAGAATTGAAAACATGCCTGTCTTCGCGCGAGAAGCTACTTCGTGGATATTTTTTATGACAATCGGAAATAATACGTATAATATTTCCTTCTCAACGCAATTTAAAGAATAGTCATGAAAGATCTGCGTTGTCCATCGTGAGAGTATCCTTGGGTAAAAAAGAGTAGAAATTCTACCAATAGCTGAGGTATAAATACAAAATATTGAGGATTGTTTTGTTACGAAATTAGTAGCGCGATTTGAAGAGGGATTTTATCGATGTAAAGTACCTCAAAAGAAAAGAACAAATCTGCAAAGAGAGGTAATTAGGGAGACATGGTTTCGTTATGTTGTTAATTATCGTCACCTATAGGGACCTTTAAGGTAATTAATGAATATGCCTCATACTCTGAGGAATATGCGAGAACTAAAGAACAGTACTCAAAATACGAGGATTGTGGTGAACAAGAAGAAAGAAAGATGTGAAAGCTGTAAGTCGCGCTCAACCTTCAAGGCTAATTCACCCCTCCTCGAGGGCTGGTTTAGTTCTTATCTCATCTGTAACAAGGCGCAAATTGCTCTGGGTGTCTTGTCTGTGTCTAGTTCACGTTACTAGTGTCGACACAATTCATTTACAATCACATCATCACTGGTTTCCAAAGGAATCTGTTAAAACCGAACTACGCGAGTATCACCATATAAATTTGGTCATTATCCAACTTCTGCTCAATCGAAAGGGAAGACTTAGTTTCAACTAAAACATTGGTTATGCAAAAAGAAAATGGAATTGTTACCCTTTTTGAGTACGGTCTTGTGCATTTCCGATGTGGAATTTTTGTAGTCTGAACATATCATTCAGGTTGAAGAGTGCTGGCATTTACATGTGCAAGGACAGTTAAAAATCACTGATCTCCTTGTACGATTTTGTTGCCGTTAAAAATCAATAAACCTTTTTCGACGAAATTTGAAAATGTATCTATGGCTTGTTGGTAAAACACTTTTGTTGTTGTAAATTGGGAATGAGCTGGTCTGTCTTACACTCTGAAGGAATTTTAGTTTCTACCAGAGATTTACAGTTTATGTAAGGACTTTTTATGATTAATTTATCTGTCAAACCATACCTAACTTTCACGACTCAAGAGACAAATGAAGACAAGTTGATGGTAAAGCTCTAGAGAGGATTAACTCTCATTTTTTTGTACTGCAGCCCTTCGCAAGTCGTTGGACAAAACTAATAATTAATATTGAAAGACCATAATCCTAAATTTCGCCAGGAACACGTGTGAAGAACGGGTTTACAAGATTAATTAAACAGTATATCTCCTTGCCACAGAGAATAGAAGAAGAGAGAACCAACAGATATATCGTCGCGCCCCAGTGACAGGCGACTCGTGTCGTTAATTTACTAAAGGAAACCACAGACCTGTAGATATTGAAAGATGGCGATTGATAGCCTGGGATTTTGATGAGTGAGTCTTTAGGTAATGAGAGGACACTGACAAGAGAAAATAAAGTATTACTTACAAACTCGAAAGCTTGCGTTTCCTTGATGAAAGAATTCAGAGAACTTTTTGAAAAGAAGGAGCGTGGAGTGGGAAGGCATGAGTTGTGGGCCTGACACCCTGAACAAGACATTTCTTTTTCTTGATTTCCTTTGATAGAAGTTTCTCGTCATGTAATAAGGCAAGAGCTTCCTGGATAAAGACGTATCTAGGAACCCTTTATGGAAGTTAAGTTTCGAGAACTACGCCTTTAATTTAATGCTTAAAGAAAAAAACGGATGTCCCATAGATTCACGCAATCTAATCCACTGACAGCCCCAGTTTACTGAAAGGCTGATTTAACTCAAATTGTTTGACGAAAGTATATTGCGTGAAATGACACAACTGAGAATTGGCGGCCTTAGGTAAAGGTTAATTTTGAAAGACGCTCAAGGAGTTAGGATCCTTTTATTCGTTGCTTGTATTTGCAATTGCATACAATGGAATCCCAAAGAGACGGATAAATATCCTCTCTTGCGTCACAGAAGAACGAATAATTCAGCGCTAGCCCGAATTCAAAGGATTTTCAATTAAAACCAAACGCGGACTAATTATCGTTTTAATTTTAAGATTGTTAGACTTGGTCTTGCCTTTAAGCTTAAGATATTGGAAACATGGGAACAGAACGCGATACACCACCCTTTGTAAACAAAATGGGCTGCATCTCAAATAGAAAAACCAGCTTTGGAAAAGCTGCGTACTATAATGACTAGAAATTTAGCTACAAACAATGATAACGAAATGTTTAAGATAAAAAATCACTGTTACCAGAATTACGAAGAACATCAGCTCAATTTGTTACATGAAACGTTAAAGTTAAATTTTTACTCATCGATTTTCCACCAGCTGCCCTAATGACAAAATTATCCTGACCTCCTAGCTAGTATTTTTCCTTTGAATCTTTCAGTCCATTTTTCGCATGAATCATACTAAGTCTGTTTTTTGTTTTTTTGAAAAAGTCCTTGATAAAGAAATTCGTCTTTGAACACCCTTTGTAAAATCCATTCACTTTTGTTAACTAATTAGGGAAATGATTTCTCACAAACGCTCTTCAAACTGGGAAAGCAGAGATCAGTCTTACAGATTAATAAAAATTTAGATGAACTGTTTTCATTTGTCCCTTTCACTTGTGTGAGAGGCACAACACTGGAAGACAAAACAATTCAAACAAGTCGTTCAATAAAACACATTTTACTTTCAGTTTTAACAAAAAGTGTGTTTTATTAAAAGAGAGCGCAATAAAACATGCTAGATAACACGCGCATAAAGTGGATTTGCCTCGAAAAGAAAAAGAAATCTTAGGGAATTAAACGTTTTTACGTACAACAAGAAAAAACGCTCGATCAAGTGTGAAAACTTAACAATTAAGCGTATCGGAAACACTGAAGTTTCAAGAGTTTCAGAAGATAAAACACAAAAGAATCATTCAAAATAGAAAACTTGTCATGGACTGCAAATCTGAACACGGAATGCCACTTTTTGCTTTATTTCAACGCACAACCACAACTGCAATACAAACCGCTATCCAATATTTTCTCGCAATCACGAAAATTATGCTGTAAGAGAAATCATGAATCTAACTTTTCCCTCTTTGGAAAACTACGAGAAAGAATGCTTTCACGCGTGTTTGTCTTACTGGCCGAGTTTCCGGATTAAGAGGTCTTCGATCTGTGGTTTTTCAATCAATTTCACGCGTCTACAACTAACAGAAATCTAAGAAAACTCATGGCGATGCTTGGCACAAGCGCTTACAAAAAGAAAACAAAATTTCGTTTGATAAGTTTCCGCTGAAAACCGCTTCGTAAGGGGGCGCTGATAAAAATTCCTGTGTGAAAATTAAACACTTCTTCATGACACCCACCCTCCCGCTGAGATGACGAGATAGTTTCCTTCTCCTAGGACTCTTTGTTTATCCAGTGGTAAGATATGGTCAGATCACACACTTGTGAGTCTATTTGTGAGAGCAGCAAGAGTCATATCAAGAGGAAATTTAAACAGCGGGTTTGTTTTTTAACATCAAGTCCATGAGTTCGTGATCGATAATCGGTCTTATATAAACAGTACTTAAATCCATATTCTTCATGAAACCCGCGCGTTTGGGTCAATCGATGGAGAGGATCAAAACAACTTTCGTTTGGCTAAGACTATTTGCCCGTGATAGACTGCACTTGAGAGACGTTTATGTAGCAAATACTGATCGATGTCTTTTCAGAGATAAAGATGCTTTAAAATTAACTTTTGTAAGCTTTATAACATGTCGATCATGCTGCCAAAATGGATTGAAAGTAAACATAACTCTCACACTTGAGATGGTTCTCACAATTAAACATAAAACTGTAAAAATATACAATCTCTACACAAATATTGACCTAGAAACATGGTAAGTTTTCCTCGAACTGTCCACTCTCTCCGAAATATTTCTTGTACATGGGTAACAGAATGGATAAAACAGACAAGCGTGGAAAAGGTCACTTTAACTCTTTGCTAATCGTTATTGGGTGTCTGTCTGTTATAAGCCTCGAACATGCCGGACTACCATCTAAAGCGTGTTCATCAGTTTTGTGACGCTTAGCTGTGTGTTGTTTTCTAAGAGAATATTCTTAGAGAAAATGCAGCTAGAACTCTGATAATAACCTATACATAATAGTGGCCTATGCCGATAGAAGCGCCTTGTGGGATTTCGCGAATCTCTTATTATCGGAATAATTGGTTTTTGAAAGCGTTTGGTGATCTTTCTTTCACCTTGATGGATTATTTCGTTTCTATCCTATTACTGAAGAGCCTAAAGGAATAGCTGACTTTCATGCACGACACTTTACGAGGTGAAAGTCTTCTCATAAGTGTACGCATCGCGATTTGCCTATGATACTCACAATTAGAGAAAGATTGGCAGAAACAAAGAGTTTATTGTTAGGATTTTTCTTTAGGTCCTTGAGCTGAGGCGGTGTTAGCTCAGCATGACGTGATGATATTGACTTCCACGTCGTGCAATAAGCTGCTGTAAATTGTCCAGAATTCCATGCTTGTCTAAGAGAAGAAGTCGTCCCTCCCACGAGCCGATAAACAGGCAGGTAAAATACGATTTAACTAGACAATGCGCTCAGCGCTAAATCGCGATCGAAAAGTACTTAGCGCGCCCCTCGTAAGGAAGTGATTTCGTTCGATTTTCCGCTTCTCGATAGCCGGCTCGTTTTGTATCGTAGCGAACAGAAAACATACAAGCGCGCAAATACAGACCTTGCACACACGTTTTTAAGCTAGTGATGTGCTGCTATTATTTAGTTCGGTTAGCCAAGTTTGCTTTTCATGGAGTAGAAGGAACACAAGATGCGCTGATTATTGTAATTATCTGTCTACTTGCACTTTCGTCTCTGATGTTGATATCATAGTCACCGTAGACAAAGGCTTCCGATAGCTTTAGTAGCTTATTCTATAACACTGGTTAAGACAGAAATGAAAATATATCAGGCTTTCTTAAAAGAAGATTGTTTGTAGTATGTACATCGATAAGTTTCGAAGGATCAGTGAAATTTTAGATATCAAGGTTGCTTGATGTCAGCAGAAGGGCCGTGGTGTGAATGACGAATCTTGTTTACTTCAATGTAACTTACCAGCAATTAAGATTTCAAATGCAGCTTCTTGGCGCGGACAAGGATCTAGTCACAAACTGGTTCGTACAGTCTCGAGGATCAAGACAAATTAAATCCTTGCAAGTTCTGGAATGAAAACAAAATCAATGAGGTGCAAGAAGAGAGCATGATTTAGCACAAAATGTATGCGGTATCCCGCAGGAAAAGGTTAATATAACATTAACATCGTTAGAGTCTCACTGTGAGAGACCTGTCTCATCTAGTTACCACGGTACGATAAGTCAACGAGTTAAGAAATAAGCACAGTTCTTAGCCCTTCTTTAGCCAGTCCTTTAGATTGCATTGCAGTTTCTCTGTTTCGCTTTGCGCCTTATAATTGCTTTTATCCTTGTATATTAAACTTGGAAGGCCATGAGGAGATAGAGTTTTGTTATTTTAATCAAATGAGGCGGGGATCTTTTCCAGATGCTGCAGCCGAAAATTTTTGCCGCACTGTTCAAAAACTCTTGAAAAGGCAACTGTTATTAAAATCACCTTCAATAAATTGAAATTATCCAGAGTGTTTATTTCAACAGCATATTGTGAAGGATCTCATCAACTCTAATTTGCACCACTTTAACGGTGTAATAAAGTAAAAAGAGAATATTTTGCCAATTATTTCATTCTGTTCTATTTGCATTTAAAAGGAAAATTTCGAACGCATTCAACGTTCGCCAGACACTAACCTCTGAGAGAAAACTCTGAGCATTCACAACGTTACAATACCATAGAGTGATACAATAGGACTAGTTTCAATGACTTTAATATACACTAGAAACGAATATATCCTTTTCCTTGTGACCAGTTCTAAAATGTATTCATCGCCGTCAAGACAAAAGCTTGCATCAGTTTAAGTTTGTCACTGGCCTTTCATGATTCCGACTAGCGGAGGAAGACAAGTTATTAGTCATAATTAACTAGATCGATTTCACTGCGTGAAAGAGCACATCATATAAAACGTTTGTCTCTCCACTGGTCATAATTCTACCATCAATGATAAATTTCAATATTTATATTTGTTGCTATATCATGTTTAAATACAAAATACCGCACACGTATTTGATTTCTGATCCCTGTAAATTTTTAAATTGGTATTCGTGGCTTCATATCAGAGTTTTGTAATTCATTCAACCAAATCCACCTCTCTTTTTTCCATTTTAGCCGATGGAGAAATGTATGCCTTTTTCCTATGAATTCCATCGAATACACTTATTCTACGACGTTCTTTTTAGAGTTCCTTTCACAGAAGCAGATATGTATAAACATTATTCACTTGTGGTGCATATTACTTGTAAGGACGCCATCGATTTTCAATGACATTGTTTTGAAATTTCGGGCAATAAAAAGTGACAGTTAGGTCATAAAAAAAGAAGTAAAATCCGAGGGATTAAGATCTGCTCTCCGCACGAATTGTACCACAAAGAGTTTCCCCGGAAATTAAATCAAATCCGAATTTTATTAGTTCTTGCATCGTTTGCTCTCTTCGATTTTTAACGATGACAAACAGAACTCCAGTTAACACAATGTCTACATTCAAGCAACAATCTTAGACTGGAGCACAAGGCGCTTCTTAATTATCGACCTATCGACTATATAACAAAAACAAAGTCAAGACAATTCATATAGTTTGTGAATCCAATAAATTTTGTTTTTATAAACATGATCATTTTGATAAAAGCAGAAATCAATTGTCCTATATCTCTCTTTATAAGTATTCCCAGTGTAACGGTTTACTACCACTTTGCATAGATATTAAACTTGTACACAAGAAAAATCTTCTTGCAAATCCCTTCCTACAGGCGGGTAAAAGAAAAGCGCCTTTCACCGGAAAAGAACGAGGGCTGAAACGTATAAATTGCAATCTAACAAAGATCGACAATTGTCAGATATGGAAACTACTACACATCAATTAACCTTCGCTAATTTTGGCGATGGGCTGTCATCGCGGTAAATTTTTATAAACGGATCATCATCCTAAATCCTCGCCCGTGATAATTGCAGTGGTATTTTCAGTGGAGAAGAGTCGACCGCCTTTCGGAAGGGGAAAAAATTAGTTAGGTCCTTATGAGTTCTTCTGCGCGCGGTTTGCGATGGACCTTGTTAACCCGTAGATGCCTCTCTGTGTTTCATCAAAGCTCGTAGTGGCGCGCCTATAGATAAAACACTTTATCGTACCGTGACTTGTTAAATTGTAGACTTACCTATTTATTCCAACTATTTACAGTTTTCTGTTGCCTGCCAATGAGTTACATGTGAACAGAAATTTTGAATAAAGAGGCAGTGAATTAAACCATGAAACACCCACCAGTCAATACTGCACAGTTGTCATCGGTGTAAAAATGTCTTGAATATTTGCCTTGCTCTCGTGATACGTGATTTATATTCCAGCATTCACGGACTTGAGGTCAATAACAATACCACACCAATACTCTGTAAATAGACATACTTTTCCGTGGGACACGCAAGGACATTTCTGGAAAGTTTTCATTTTTTTGTGCAGTTGAAAGCCCAATTCATCAAAGGTCGACTAAGGGAGGTCTATTACGATAATTTTGGATTTAATCCAACCTAGAGTGGGTGAAAAGACAGTAGTTTGGTGATAAAAACCGCGACACAAACGTGTGCTCTAAGGGGAATGACTTTCCTCAAAGTTCCGGCTTAAGAGGTGAAGGATTAAAACATTTTTCTGGTTTTAATTACATGAGGCATATCATACATGAGAGATCACAAGACCCAAGACTGTCGGCGACTCAAATTGATATCACTGAACGCGCAAGAAATATCGAACAACAAGATACAGTGGGAGGTCAAACACAGTCTTCTTAACTTGCAATAACGCTTCAATTTCTTGCTAACGAACTGATGTGCAGAAGATCAATTTACTGTATGTTCATGTCTCCTTTACTAGCCGGCTAGCTGGGAGGGGTCGTTCTAAAACTCCTCTTGAGACATGTCCAGCCCTCAAAGCTGTCATTTTCAAACTTTTCTATTTAGTTATTAAAATGATTTATTTTGAATCACACCTAAAAGTGGGTTACAAGTTTCAAAACGTTATCAGTGCTGTTTAAAAGAAATCGCATGTCAAATCCCATCAACTGCGCACAATGTGTATGCCACCCTTAAGTACTTGGGGATTATTTAGGGCTTACAGACTCGATAAACCCTCTTTCGAAGTAATACTTATGCTGTGAGCACCGTCATTGCGTGTTCGCCAGAAGCTTTTTTTTTTAAGAAAGCCTTAAAGGACACGAGAAACGAGATTAGTCCCCCTGATTCCATTCAGCTCGTGACTCTCTGAGCTCTTCACTTTTCCACCAGATGTAAACATATTTTTTACGCATCTTTGTTAAAGCAAAATATCTGCCTGATATGGGGTTTGTTTAACAACACGCCTTCGAGTAAAATTGACATTTTTTTCGCACTTTGGCATAATTGTCCTGTTGTTTAGTCTTTAACCCTTGAAATACTTAAAAGCTTAAAAAAACAGCCAATTTTGTAGAAATTTTTCTTGGTAAATGTTGAAAACAAACATCAGTAGAGAAAAATTACTCTATAGTTTTCATTCAAATAATTGCGCGCTGAGATTTTACGGTATTACTGATGCAAAACCTCCAACCATTTCGTTTACGATTTCAGAAACTGGCGTAATTATAAGAGGTGGCAATAAAGGCTGTTGTTGAGATTGAAAATTTATATAAACACTTATTTGAATTGATCATGTTCTCTCAAGGAATAAGTTTTTTTTAAACCGAAAGAACAGCCAGACTTCTCTTTTTGACATCTACAAAGTACTTTACTTTTTATAAAGCGGATTTCCTTGTTTTCTCCCCAAAGGATCAGATGCCCTCTTTTTTTCATTTTCTTTTCACTCAACAACATTTTAGTATTACGCACTCACGGATCCAGATTTAAGTAAGATCCGGCATTTTTCAACGCCTTTGTCGCTGTGATTGTGCTAATTTTAGAGTTTGTGCCCTGGCAGTGTTTACAAATAATCCCCAAGTTGCGAAAGAGCGATAGAGGGTGAAGTGTTTTTAGCTATTTCTAGAGCAATTTCCTGGCTTAACTTTTATAGTAAGCCGTTCTTGTTATCAGTGGTAGAGAGGAAACAGACTCAGTTGTGATTGCTTAACTATATGATTGCTTTTGAAAAATGCGCCGCATTAACAAAACTTGATAAAAATATACATTTAGACATTACTGTGAGAAAGATCACTGAAAGAAGAAATTGAAATTTTCCATAGTCAAATGACGGTCTGAGTAGAAAACGCTCCATTTTGCGAGGAAATGTTTTATTTTTTTTTTTAAATTCATGTTTGCGTGTTTCGCCCATCCTTAAAAAACTAAAAGTCAACAAGAGGGGTAGTCTGGTATTGTCTACCTCTTGCATCCAATAGATTCACTTGGTTTCACAGAGCCAAACAAAATACTAATAGGAGGTCGAAAAGCTCTCTTTGTTGCTATAACTAGCACGTGGTTTAAATTTGAATGCAAAAAGATTCTTAAGTCTCTCTATAAGGTACGCACTTCAGATTTTTCCACGAGATAGATTTGAGGAACATCAACATAAGAGGAAAAAGTCTCTTGTTTGGAGGAGTGTGCCATGCTTTAGAAACATTTTACACGCACGCGGAGCATGCAGAAATCTTTCTTCTAATCTATACAAAGTGCTTATTTGAAATGTGAAATAAAAAAATAATAAAAACGTGCCGTAATGAACGTCAAGTGGTTGTTTCTGAGAGAAGAACAAGCAAGCAACACGTGCAAAGATCAAGGTTGAATACGGACGTGCTCCGAGGCTCAACCTAATAGCAAGTCTGAAATTATCAGATTAAAATTGTTCTTCGAAATTTGGAGCAAGTAGCTATTCAAAACTAGATATTGGTATAGTATAGTTGAAAATGAACCTAACAAACGCAGTTTGCACATTGCCTTTCGTATGGCAGTTGCACCTGACCATTAACTCAGGTCAGGTTTCGTTCCTCAGTTACTGACCACAGAGACTCCAAATTTCCACCCGTGTTTATTCAAAGATAGCATTATATACCAAAAGCAAATAACGCAGAGAACACCGTAAGCTTCAAAGCGGTTAAGAACAAGAGCGCTGAAAACTTGACATTTTGAAAAGAAAGAGACGTCTTTCCGAACGATCAGCTAAGAAAATTTTTATGTCAAAAATCCAATCGCTTTTGAATGAAGACACGTGTTTAGTGACTTAAGTCAAGAAGGAAATCAGCATTGTTTCGATTGTTGAGTGATTCATAACTTTCCCTAAAAACATAACCAGAGGGTTGGTCATTCAATAGTTTAACTGTTTGGTTATTACTCGCTGTCCAAAAAATCACAGAGAAGATAAATGAACCAAATTAATAATTGTTTAAATGTCCTTCCTAAAGTTATTGGTTCCTTTTTTTTAACTTAAGCCTTAGTGTTTCGGTTCCTAAAGGGTTGATGGTATTCAAGTTTATATTGCTTGGATCTGAGTTAATTCAATCGATGTGAAAAGGAACTTGCTGTGTCCCTCAAGATTTTCATGGCCTTGAGTTTCGCAAGCTAGGCCTGCAGATGTATGCATCATACAAAAACAGCCAAAGAATAGATTAATTAAATAGCAGAGCGCCTCGTCCCATTTACAGTGCAAAAGTGCCGGACTCAATATTGAATTAAACTGGTTGTTACCTTTCGTCTCAAATATCCTGGGTCTTTGAATTCGACTTCTTGGAGTTCTAACTTCGTCTGATAATTAAGTATTTTGATTGCAATTTATCAGTCAAAACTGCTCAACATGCCAAATGCTCGATTTGTGAATTTATGCAACGAAGTTTTTAACACTTCCTTATCGGAAAGCTGTGAAATATTTGTAATAAATTAACCCTTTAGGCTGTCCAAATCTTCTAGCAAATCTTTAGTCTATAAACTCATCAGATTATTGAAAAAAGGCTGGCTAATGATGCAATGGGGCCAAGTTCAACCGATGTAAAAAATATGGCCTAAGAAGCCCGTTACTCTGAAGAAATTTTGGTTTTTGAATAGCTTGACTTGCCAACTCTCGTAAATATAAACATAGTACGAGAAAAGAATTACAACAACTGTGTAGAATAACGGAGGTTTTTTTAGTTGACAGATACAGATGTATGCACCCAAAACAGCGAGCACAACGAAACTTAAGTATCTTTCGTACATAACACAAATTTCATAGTAAAATCCAATTTAGAAACAGACTCGTTTTGAAATAATTTCAGAGAGTGGGAAAAGTTCTAATCGTTTGAATTTGTTAAGTTAAGGGAACACCCTCGAATGTCTATAAATTTCATTGAAAAGGGAACGAATATCTTTTGAAGATGTTAGTAAAAAAAAATTGCTTCCGATATCTAACACGACAACTGAATATTAAACAAAGAGGAGAGAATATTTTTCAAAGAAATCTCCCTTATCAAGTTGTAAACGTTGTCTTTAATGCCCGAAGACCTGTTTAAAGCTCTCTCGACTTGTTTACTTCACAAGCAGTACAAAAAATCATTGGTAAGACGTTCTGAAATAACCTTTGTTGAAAGATTATTGTACGTGGCGTTACTATATAGCGAGCACGGCCAGATTGGTTTTAAACCGCGGGAAAAAAATAGAAAATAAAATGGACCCTCTTGACTCAATGAATAATACAAAGTCCTTTTAAGTTCAAGATAGCCTTTAGAAAAAAGCTCAACGTTTCTAGATAGGGAGTCTTTTCAAACGTTGGCTTCAAATTTGCATCATAAAGCCGGAGACAAGAGTATAGTTGTTTAACTTCACACAATTCACCGCCCTTCGGTTCTTTCTCGGTAAAGTCTCTCAGTTATGTCGTGTTTGTCTATAACGTTTTTTCTTCATATTAGGAAGATTAGCCGTTTAGATATACCGTGTCAAGTGAATGACAACGAGAAAACTTGGAAAGTTTAGAGTGTTTGTCCAAGGTAGTCCGAGTTTAATAAAAGTTTGCGAAAACAGTTGAGACTTCTTAGAAATGAACGTAGGTTGCACACTAACAAAGCTGACCGACAATTATCCCAAAAATAAGTGGTGCAGTGAACTATGTCGGAACTTTGAAACTTTCTTTGAAATGAAAATTAGACCGATTCTTGAAATACTTGGGCCAATTTGGAAAAGCTAGCCGCAAGCGTAAGGTAATGAATTTTTCATCAATGAAGTAAAGCTTCTGACGCGGTTAGAGGGCTTTGAATTGCGAGATAAAACCGCCATAACATCGGAATATATATTAAATTGCTTTGAATGAGTTGCGACAAGGAGAATTAGATAATTTGTTCAATTTTTACCCCCTTTTTGACATGTAAGGCATCTTAAAGGAGCTATCTGAGACAATGAGAAACCACTTTTTCAAATGTTTGTCCTGTTTTCACGGGATTCACTCAAAATGTTCCTCAAACTCAAGTCGCAAGGTCTTGATTTACGTATCTGTAGGATCTCGATCCCTATGCCACAATGAACCGTGCAACAATTTCTAGTCTCGATTAACATTTCGCTTCAACTTACTCACCCATCTGCAAGCCAGTCACTTGAAAATCAAAACAACATTTCGGCACAAGATCTGCCGCATTCAATCCGTGTTGTTTGCTCGCCGAAGCTGTTATGTTCAAAACAGTAACCGTATAAGCACAGTCCCTTAATTATACCATAGGTTAAAATGCCCCAAGAAAGGGAGTGTTTGCATGTCTAAGGCTTAATTACCAAATATTTTTTCTTTCCAAACTTGCCACCCGTTTATATGGAGAGTAACCCCAGGTTATTCAAAACCGGAGACGGTGCGAGGTTTTGACATATAGGAGGTCCTTTTTGAATTCAGCTTCGGAGTCGAGTGGAGTATAACTTTGTAATTAAATTTTTGTAAAATTGGCATGACTTGAAATATAGACTCTATCTATATTGAAGGGACAACATTAGAAATACAAGCCCTTGTCGTTACTCGCGTGTTTTCTGTCTCTTCTGTATTTTATAATTGTCGGCTCAGGGGCGTATAATCTTATTATCAAGCGTGTAAGCATCAAATAAAATACACCTGTAGAAACAATCTCTTTGGTTTCTCGCACCAGCGAATCACAACTGTGACAACGTTCTTAAGCAGTACTTGCTGCACAAGGCGAGTCGGAAAACCTTGATTTACCCCAAGTCGCGTACCCAAAATCTCAAAGAAACATGATGGCAAGGTCCAACGCTAAAGAAAAGGTGTATTTATTTTACACTGTCTTAAGACGAAATAAAGCGCTTAGTTTATCGTTGCTTAAGTTCGCTCGGATTACTCTTCCACAGACACAAGCGTGTTGGTTTGTTGTTTAAAAGTAAACAGCTAAACGGCAGTTGCGTAAACTTTGACTCGGCAGAATTTGACATTCCGACAAACTGCTACACCGTTAAATTGTTTTTGAAACGGGATACATATTTGATCTGCTTTAGAAGAATACGCCGTGAATCGCTAAATGGCAATGCTTTTAAGATAAACAAAAAAGCGGATTGTTTGGTCGGATTACAAGATATTTTACTTTCACTTTAAATATGCAAGAACTGAGAAATCAATGAAGTTATGGTCGGTTCTTAGGGGTTTGCAAGTGAACTTTGACGTTTCATGCAAAACACCTTCGCAAAACAGCAGCTGTAAAAGGCACTAAGAAAAGGTCAAAACACCCCTTTGAATTTTGGTATTTCTTTAAAAAACGGTAAAGGAACTATATAGAGCAAACAAATTTGATAATCGATTTGTCATTGATTCAATATTCCCAAAACTAAAATATATTGTCCATGGAGTGGAAAAGATCGAGTGTTTGACCCTTTATATTGATCACGAGGTTTGAAAGGAGATTTTTATGCTATAGGCAAAAAGAACTGAAGTCGCTGAGCTGTTATATTTGTGTTTGAAAATTCGACTCAATTTTTTTAGTCTTTAGTGGCATTTTTCTGAACGCTATTTAGTTTTCAGCGGGAAAGATATTTCAACATTAGTCTAAAAGCCGAAAAATAAATAAAAGGTGCAAACATGTATTCGGTTGTAGTTAGAAACTAAAAGTTAAAATTTCAGGGGTAAAATAGCCTGTGAAAAGCAATTTAAAACGGGTTAAAGTAATTAAGTGATCCATTTTTATCTCCCGTGCGAAAACTGTGATCAGTTTAAACCCGGGGAACATTTAGGAGACGTTTGAATACGCCGCAAATCAACACGCTGGAGTGAAATTGTTTAAAGTGACGTCTAAAACATGATTGCCCCGAACGGGAAATGACTGTTTTGCTTTGAAAATGTTTAGTTAAACTATCATACGGCAAAATTGCAGGTCTCCTCAAACCTCGAAACTCGTTCAAACGGATTAGAAATAAGTCAGTTTGATCTCTCTGTTAACTCACAAAAGGCTTTCTAGACGAAGGAGTTAATTCTAAAGGGACAAGTAGAAGAACACTCCATTTCCTAAGAAAACTCATAATCAAGTTCCTTGTACAGATGGCAAAACATTCAGATACCTTCGGCAAGCTTTTTATTGTTAAGGGAAACTCATTTGCCGACATAATTTCGCTTTTATTGCGGTAATCAAATCCGCAATTATATCTTCTTGGTGTCAATAGCAACAATTTTATTAAAGTTTTAATTTAATTAGTAGCATGAAAAAATAAAAGCGATCGCTTAATTTTCCCTCTAAGTACCCAACAACCGCGTACAGTATTTAGATTGAAGGGATATTGTTTCAGTAATAATTGTTAATATCCTCGCTCCAATCTCGGCGGTGGCTTTGTTGGAAAGCGCGCGTTTAGGAAAAATTTACATTAAGCCCAAGTGATTAAACTGAACTGTGTGGTGGACGCTCAGTTTCGCTGTGACACAGAACGTAACGCAATGGTTAGAAAGTAGGAGACCGCGAGTGCGTCGGCCTCAAAACGAGAAAAGATCATAGTGGAAAATTTTCCCCAACTGCATTTCAGTCCTCGACATAACGAGTATTCGTAAAGAACAGTCAAAATACGTAAATAAAAAAGGCCGCGTTAACCGGAAAGAGGATGCGAAAGATATTAGAAGAAGCAAGAAGAGTCGAAGGCTTTTTGATGCAAATTATGCAATAAACTAATCAGTGATTTAATTTGTTCTTTTCTTGTCGCTTTACAGACGGCCGAAATGAGACCGAACCGCCATTTAGGAACAAAAGATCAGCAATGAATATTTTTCTCTGCCCCATATATTCAAAATGAACTGCGCTGAATCGAAATTAACTCAATTAAGCAACAGAGCGCTGAGACCAGCTGCTTGAAATCGTGGCTCGCACCTTGGACAATTGCATTTGAAGTTTTCCTTTGTTCGCTCTAATGACGATCTACAAAGCTTTCAGTATTTTGGATGCGTGAGCCCGAACGCAATACTGCGCTTCTCGCGCGCTGCAACAAAATCACCCTACTGCTGCGTGGAGTTTACATATAAGGTAAATGCGTGTTTCTGGCTCGCTCTTGGTTGTCACTCAATTGACACTTCACCGCACGCAACCGGCAAAGTCATCAAGCGACAGCAAACAGGATTTGCTGACCACTGTAAACTGACCACGAGTTGTGTGCGAACGAAATTTGAAGTTATACGCCTTGTTATTTTCGAATTTTTTTCAGCTACTTAGGGCATCTCAGACTCAAAGTTTGCTGGTTGTCAGAGGGAATTACCTTAACTGTCATCTTAAGCTTCAAGGTTCTTCAAGAAGGAAATTCAGCTCTCTCCTCTCTACAGGAAAAGGTTCGTATAATACGCTCAAATAGTTTCTTAAACGGTCCATCAGTTAAATTGAAATTAAAGATTTTACGAATCGCGTGTCTTAACCAAAGGCAATGAATAATTATGATGAAATTATTTCCCATACGACTCTAACGCAATGTTATTGAGATTGTTGTTTAGCTTGGCTAAAAGCACTCGTTCGTCGCTCAAATGGTGTTGAGATGGAGAATATTGATTCATTATATCGTTGCTAAAGGGTTTCTTAATTACTATTCGAGAGCGCATATACACTTATATTGAGCCAGGCAAAACAAAATTGGCAGATTTTTACAGTAAAAAGTGCGATGTTCAGTTTGCATGATGCAGTGAAAGTGTCAGATCGGCAGGATCGAATCTGTGTAGATAATTGCTTATTTACAGAGACTTAACTGCTATTCAATTAATTGATAGTAAATGTCAGAGGTAAATCTAGTATTTAGAAGGCTTCAATTTTAGCAGGGTCTGTGTTTGTACAAGAACAGCGCGACACAATCGCGTCCATAGATCCGACTCAAACCATCCAACAGCGCAGAGTCAATTCAGTATTCTACAGAAAGAGCTCTGTTGGTACTGAGCTAAGTTGTCAAACCATTCGCTATATTAAATTAATGTTTTGATAAGCTTCAATGCCTTGCATTCACACAAACATTTTTGGAACAAAATCCAACACCTTAATGCATTGAAACTGCTAATAGGATCGACAACGGGCATTAGATTTACAGAATCACGACAAATCTCGTGGTCATCATTTCGATCTCCCAATGTGAAATTACTTCGTCCCTATCGAGATACCACCACGGAAAATTCGTCAAAATATATCGCTTCCATTCCGTCAAAGCTTCGAATTCTGCTCTGTTCTATGTCCTTAACGATTTTCTTACAGCATTCATGGTTAGAATTCGTGATAAGAAACGCGGAGACGAATGTGGAAATATTTTTTTACCCTCCTCTCCCGTCGATTTGACTACTGGATTGCTGTATTCTTTTGAATCATCCTCCAAGGAGAGTTAACAGGAAGCCGGAAACTTTCATGCTGCTGGTCTAGTTTCAAAACACGAGGCTCGTTCATTCCGGTCATATTTTATTCTCGTTTATAGTAATTTCACCCATGTATCAAAGCGATAACTATCGAAATATATTAACGACGACAACTAAAAAGATAGAAAGAACATATATGTAAAAAACACGACGTTTAGTTTTGTTGATGCGTGGTAGGATAGCGAATGCACGCTCTTGGGGAGGATGTTGTTGTGTTCATCTGCGGTGCACCAAGACAACGAATTGGGTCCATGCGTGTTTTCCTTTAGACGTAGCACGGGCGGGAGACCAAACCGCTTTTCCGTTCACTCTTCTATTTGATTTTTCCTGTGGGATTCGTTTAATGCGTGAAATATTTTAAGTTAGCTCCAGTGTAAATAGCGGTTGGTTGAACATAACGCGTCCAAAAATCAAATTCGTTCTTTGAGTTAATTAACATTTCATATCTCAACTTCAGTCGTCAAAATTCGCAACGGCTTCATTGAACACAATCAATAATTTTGTTTCATGAAAATAACCAGGGGACAAAAGAATAGTTTATTCAACTTCTCTCAGAACTACAGATGGCAAATGTCTTCGTTTAACTTGTCGTTTCATAGACAGGCACTAGAACATCTTGGTATTGTCTGACTCGAGTTACGCAACTACATTCCATCAGTTTTATACCCAGTCCAAAATGTGCTAGTAATTTATCTAACAGTCTCTTTCTTTTAACTAGCGAGCCAGAGAAGTTCTAAAGAGACGTTTGATAGTCGTCCATTCCACCAACACTATTGCTGGCTGCTCCCCCACGCCTGCCTAGTGTCAAGAGGACTGTGAAAGCACTCTGACAATTTTGTAGATAGATTTCATTTTGACACGGAATACAGAATTTTGTTGTAAATTCTAATTCTCAGCGATTCTTTTTCCATTTTTAAGTTATGTTGGGATTTTTTCAATCAGTAGTCAGTTAGATAGATAAATGGGCTTACAGAGTACTTCCTTCATCAACAAAGTAGGAATTGTTGACTTTCAGGACAACAAAGGCGTGCTTTAGTCCTTTACCAAACGAATTTCTCTTGGATGATGGTGTACATTGTGTGCTTTAAGTCCTTGTGATGGTTTTCGATGGAGCAGTCATTTTTTTTTCCTCGATACAAAATGTTAGCTAAGTGTTAGTAACATCTGCCAGTGTAGAAATCTAATCATGGAACTGGTAAACAGAGATTATTATTACCCAACGATGAATGGATCTGACTTGACTCTCTCGCTATCGTGACGAAAGGTACGAAATCGTGCAAATTAAATCCTCGTATTTTCCGCGCTTCAAACGAAATCATTTATCATTACAAATGGTGGGCGTTAAAATAAATTAACCTTTGGTGTAACGAAGAAAATTTGCATCAATATTACTTTATTTTGAATCTCTGACTAACTGCGTTGGATACGCATTGCTTTGTTTTTAAAACGATGCACGGAGAATTAAAGGAAGAAACTAATCCTTTCAGATGTAAAAACAGCTTCTTTTGCGCACGACCAAAAGAGTTATTTTTGTATGAATTTCTTTATCAGCTGAGACTCAGTCCAACGAAGGAACCAATTTCAAAATTGAATGGCGCGACACCCACGTTAAGTTGGGGGTAAATTAATCTCATGGTTAGACACTTAACGTCGCAGTCCATAAACCAAGAACAGCAGAACAATTGTGCAAAGCAAATTCCAAGGGACGCAAGGGCGAGTTTCTTTCAACGATCAATTAAAACTATTTTTTCCACTTTATTTTGACGCAGGTTTTATTTGAAAGCAGACAAATATCTTCAAACTAGAAATATGACTAAAACTCTATGGAGCGAGGATTCTCTAAACTGGAGGACTCATTTGAATGCCACAATTTGAATGCCACAATTTGAATGCCACAATTTGAATGCCACAATTTGGTAGATCAAGCAGTTTTGCCTAAACTGATTTTGTTTCCCAAATCAAATTTTATCCCTCCCTCAAATAGGTCTTGAAGTTTCTGCGGTAGAGACGTACTCATGGTTAATTTTCTTATCTGAAGTATGGACTTAGTGGAAAGAGGCCACCTTGTTTGCAGACGTTTCGATTTTTCTAGACTTCGTGACTTTCATTTCGAGATGAGTGCATGGCTGAGTTAGTGCATCTTCAGGAAACCACATAAAAAGATTAGATAGAAGGTTGTTGTGGACTTCCTTTAGGAACTTGAAAGGTTGCATTGAGATACAATGCGTCTTCGGTAACGCCCTATGCCATCACAGCATGAGGAAACTTTATGAGCTGTCTTCATGTTTATCATCCCCCCTCAAAGCAGCTTCGACACTGAATTACAAGATCTGCAGATATCAGTTTGAAATTCACAGAAAAATCGTATGTAAATGCTCTTTAGACTCCAAGGAAGGTTCTGCCAGAAACTGATGAATTTGGCGGATAATTTTCCAGCTTGAGAATGTTTGTGGGAATGTCAAATATTTTATGAGACAGGTGGTGATTGCTGGAGAATTTTTTACCCAAACTTTCGTGAAGTTTGCAAAGTTAATTTAACCTTTACATTACGTGTTTTTCAAGCTTGATTTTTTGAGATGGTTGTTCAATAACGTCAGTTAAGTGTGTAACAAAGTTGCCTTTGAACTCGAGCAGTTCTCAGTAGTTTCAATACATCCAAGCATACTGTTATTTTGGGTCTGTGGAAGATAAAATAAACCATGCGGATGTGTCCCTTTTTAACTAAGATCGATAGCTTAGAAACCGCAGACACAAAACAAGTCAATTTTTTCTTTTAAGAGAGATGCGAGCTTTGCATGGTGACCTTTGTAAATCAGAGGCCTTGATAATCTCACCACACAAGTTACATACATCCCTTATCTCCATGAAGATCTTCTCTTGAAACAAAGCATTCACACCTGACTTAAAAACTTAAAAGGACACGGAAAGCGAAGTTGAAATGCAGCTTTACTCTCGTATCCACTTTTGAGAGTAATTCTTCATGGTTGTGGAAATATATTGAATTTTATTGCGTAAACTAAAGCCAATGACATAACAACATTTCTTGAAGTAATGAAAGCTAAAACGCACATCATTGGAAACAAAATCCTCTTTCCTAGATGTTTTATTAGTTGCCTCCGCCAAGCAAATTTTAGAAGAGCATTTTTCTGTAAACTGAAGGATCGTATTCACATTCTGTTTGCGGCGATACTTTTTTTTAGTTATTTCAGCACTGTTAATTACTGCATATTCTTCATCGTGCGTTACTGTGGCTAATTTTAAATTTACCACTTACTAAGGCTTGTAAATGTTATAACAAACCAAGATCAATTATGTATACGTTTTCAATTATCTTTCAACGTTTTATTAAAAGTAGCGCAAATGTGTACAGCGTACATGTATACAGCAAGCGTGTAAAGTGGTGAAAGACTACTGTAAATATATATGAAAACCTCTTCCTCATTGACGTTAAAAAAAAGCTCGAGCCCTATATAAATATCAAAGTTTCTTCGAGGGTCAATTTCAACAGAAAGAAGGGAGTAGCGTGTGCTGCATTACAGGTGCCGAGCTAGAAGCAATCTTCTTCATGTAGCTCTAGCAAAAGACAGTTCACTCTTCGTCTCTTTATCGTACGATTTATTTGCCACTGGTGTGATATTCGTCATGTACATTTGATGGCGCAAAATTGTCTTACGTGCGTTCATTCCGTGTCACAATATAACTGTGTTGTTTGGATGCGTGATGTGTTTCAGTTGACGCCTATATTTTCATTCCATAAAACTTCATTAAACAAGCCTAATTTTGCGAAAATTCGGACCGCTACTCTTGCTGACTCGACACATATTTTATGATGCTCCTGGAAACCTGAATTTCTTCGTGAAATTGTTTAAGGAGGAAGGTAACCCTACCTCCTGTTATTTCCTTTTCTTCTGATGGATTTATAAAAGTGCAATATTACTTTCCAAAATTAAACAAGAAAATTCCTGCTGGTTAATTGCGTATCAGGAAACAGTTTGCGTGCTCTTGAAATGAGGACACGACAGTGTTAAAGGTATGAAACGTGAAATATCGTGTTGCAGAACACTTACAGAGTTTGCGGGAGCACAGTAGTTCACTTGAAGCTAACCTTAATAAGGATACAGGTATGAAGAACATATCTAACCCGAATTTAAGAGAAACTGAAGAAATTTGGATGCAGCAATGATTTGTGAATGCGAAGATAAAGTTGCAAGCAAAGATGTTATTCCTTTGTCAAGATTGCGAGACAAGAAATCATTAGAGTCCTCCAAACTTTGATTCACTTTTACAACCTTTTCGTTATTTTAAATCACAACAGGTAAAGATCATTTCGAAAGGATACAGTCCAAAAATAATTTGTACATGATGTCATGCGAATCTTTCTGATATACAATTCTGAACAAAGCGTATGAAAATTGAAAAAAACATGAAGCTGAAATTTTATTGTTTAAGCATCAAAGGCATGGGAACTTAAATGTTCTATTACATTTGACCACTCTGAAAAAAGCACGATTTACCGAAAAAAAAGCCAACACTCTTAAATCCCAAATTGTAGCGGAAATGAGACCATGTAGATAAAGGTAAATCTCAATGGACTTTACAAACTTTATCCTTCAGATAATAATTTTAATGTGAATAGAAATGTAGACATAATAATCCCAGAAAATTTAATCCCAATTCATAAAGCAAATGCAAAAACAACCAGAAAGAATACACCATTTACGAGCGAAGATTCACATTGGAAAAATTTATATGTATCGATCGACGGTGGTCTATCTTGGTTTCAGTAAAGATTCACTGTTTGATGTGCAGCAGCCCGTTTCGTGAAAAATCCCAAACACAAATGTACAGCATCTATCAATTTTGAATGACAGTTCTGTCCCTTGATGAAGGAATGATGAGAGCAATATATCAAGAGAGAGAAAAATCGTGTCGAAACATGAGCAACGGAAGAATTCACGTAGGGTTTTGTCTGATCGCAGTCACCTTTAAATTGTCCACGATATTCATTTCCTATCATGATTATAAATATGCTTCATAAAAAAATTGATTTTCTCAAGAAATAAATCTTGAGACGATTTGTGCGGATAATTACGAAGCTTGCCAAAAGGGGGGGAAGAGAAATTAACGCGTGAAAGGAAAACGCACGATACCATTAAATAAATGTGGTAGAAACATGGAATCTTTGAAAGCCACAATCAAGCATGACAGCTATGCCCGATGACAGTAGTAATTTGCTTATTGCTCTAAACGAAACGAAGTCCGCCCCCCCAATTAGTTGATTGAAAACACGACTTTTGTGGTGTAGGTTACAGTGCATGTTTAGCCTGTTCGGGGCCGTCACTCCATCTCTGTCACCGGTCAACTTTAATAGTCATTCACATCAAGCAATCGTAAGCTACCTCAAAAGAAGCAAACAACTGAAAAGGAAAACTTTAACTTGACACCTCAAGCTTAACACGTATCTTTTAAATCACCATGTGACTCGGTTCGACAGCACTTAAACACCCTGACCGCGAAGATAGACAACACCAGATATTGGCCTTTAGTGTATAAATCAATGTCACCTGGTCGCTGTGATAAGATCCATGTCTGCTCGCTCAGTGCTCCTAAGCGTCGACGCCGATATACAGCAGATAGAATAAGACCCATACCACACACAAAGACCGAACAATGACTATTGAATAGAACATATCTTCTCAAAGAACTCCATTGTCCTCGTAAACAAAAAAACTCACAAACCAAAGCGAAATGTTCATAGCTGAGTGAGCACTTACAAAAACAACGGAACCAGACATAAATTTATTTTGATGCTATCGGGGGCTCCGTATCACATGGGCGTGTTGATTATTTGACTCCCAGTAATTCAAGGCTATATATACTTTGAATAGAAACAGGGACCACTTAATTGAATGCATTCCTTTGTACAGTGACTCCTGACAGCTACTCTCAGTTGGTGGTAACAGTGTTATAGACCAGAACATAAATGACAGTAATTTTATAACCACAAGCGTTGTCTGTTTTTTTCTCTTCTCAGTGGATTGTCGATTGTGACAAAATGGCGGGCTATTTTGGTCATGTCGGAGGACATGTGCCTCCGTATTCAGTGGGAAGCCACGGATTGAGTCATCCTGCACCGAATATCGATTTCTTCAGTCAAATGGCTCCTCCGCCGTGTGGTAAGTTCTTTTTTAAATACTCAATAAAGCCAATTACAAACTCTATAGTTTCATAAATGGAGGGCAAGCCAAGGTTGCCGCTTTTAATTTGAGCTTCCTAACTGGCTATTTAGCCCTGTAACGTAACAAAGTCTTGCGCTGTAGATTAGCCTGTGCGCTACACTCCATATTCCCAGACAATTTGAAACAAAACAACAGCGGATTATAATAAAAACGTAGGCTGCTATAGTGTGAAGGTCATGAGATCGATTCGTTTGCTGCTAATAAGGCACATCAGCAAATTTCACCTTTGAAAAAGGGCGCCTTGAAATCCTTTACTTTGTAATTAAAAACATGTATTCTGACCAATCCTAAATTATAAAAAGGTATATGATTTGAACTCGCTTTGTATCTGTGTAGAACGCGAGCGGCCATTTGCTCGCTTCACTGAAGAGCACTCTGATACTTCTACCTAAGCATGTTGAGGCATGATTGCTTGTTTTGAAGTTAGCTTTCCAACCTCACGGTGTTATTGTAATAGGCAGTCATATTTCATAATAAAAACAATGATTTTATGTAAGGATTTCCCCTAAAAGTGTTGTTTAAACAGTGCATGTTTTGTTAAATAATTACACATCGTTAAAGGCTTAATAAATCATCATCCCCTTTTAGCAGTACTGTGGTGTGAAATCTGTCATGAACCTATAAGATGACAGAATTTAACCAGGATACAGGAAAAACTTTTCGCTATATTGGGCAGTTTTTATTTTAACTTGGAACAAAGCTTCGTTTGAGAAGAAAACCATGACATCCGATTGAATTGAATCTGTTGAGATAACTTTATGAAACGTTCATTTGCGGTTTCTCTGAGGTTTCAACGCGGTGCTGCTTATGTTGTGCTTCTTTATTAGCAGAACTAGTAGTTGTCTTCTTTTTAGCCTTAAAAGCTCTGCCCTAATCAACCAATTTAATCAAGTTAATAAAGAGTTTCAGAAAAGACAATAAAACTCCAGGATACTCCAAGAAGATCTCGCCTTGTCAATGTGCCTTTATTTAAAAAAAACATGTCGTTCTTCGAAGTTGTTTTCAACTGTCAACCCACGCTAGTCAATCTCTGACCACTTATTCTGAAATGAAATACGAAACAAGACAGAATTGGATATTGTAGACAAAATATCCTGTTTTTTGCTTCACAACAGTCGACAAAATTTTGTCACTTTAGCATCATTTTGTTTCCTCGATTCTTGATGTCAAAATATGAGAAAAAATCCATTGGTATACTTGTTGATACAGATTTAGATGGACTCCGGGTAAAATGGACGAGGCAACAACTTAGGTTGGTGAAAGTTCACCAAAGGTGGATCGATACATTTTAACTTCATGAATCATATTTTCTATTATGGTGGTAACTTTTGCGTATTATAATTATAATTGTTACCTTTTACTGTTAACTTTCGTTTTCGATAAAAAAATCAATAACTTGTGTAATGTTCCATAGAATTTGCTGAGTTTCACTGCCTCGTTCTATTGATTATTTAAATGGAAGAAATCAATTCTTTGTCTTCGTTATATAGATGGCTTTTTTACTCTCTGTCCCCCTAAAATTTTAAAGTTAGACGCAAGTTATTTAGCTAATGAATTTTGTACTCGAATAAAGTTTTTAATATTCTTAAGACGAGTGATTTCCTTAGTAAAAAAGCAGGGCTCAACCGTTGAATTCTTCTGACGTGGAAATGAAAGCATGAGGATTCGGGTAAATCAGTCAAGCTTTTTATTTATTCACAACGGCTTTTATAGAGAAGAATGAGTATTCGAGTAAGTTAAGCTTGTTTAGTATTTGCAACATGCCATTGTTGATAAGAGATGGTAAAATATTTTATTAGTAAATGGAAGTGTTAAGTGAAAGTAAAAATAAGTTTTCCACAGGTAAAGTGAAGACCACCACAATTTTTATGACCTGCGTTGAGCTGAAGAAGAATAAAACAGCTTGTCGGCAATTTCAATCTTATTTCGAAATATTATTCAGCTTCTGTATTTTTAAGAATCTAAAAAATAGGGAATTTTGGGTTTTTCCGTGTAAAATTAGACGTGAAATAGGCAACTTCTGAACTAAATCAATGTATTAAATGGTTTGATATCGTGAGGCACTCGGGTTTCTTTCGACTGTCGCGAAACTCTTTGAAGTTGAAAGTTGGGCGTTAGTTCCCGGAAACTTAACGATATAATTAATTCGTCTTGGCAATTTCTTAGAGAGAAATGTGTATTTAAGCCACATAGCTGGAAAATTCTTACGTAAACTGGGGCGAGGTCGTGTTATTTAGACGTTCCCTGTTTACTCGTCTCGAATGGTAACTGTGGGATTTGTGTAATTGGTTCTGAGCATTCTTTCGCTTTTTATCTTCTTATGTCCCTTCACAACGCACAAGCAACAAGTTAAGAATTTTTAACGAGTCGCAATTCCGTGGCTCGACTCTTTCGTTTTCCATGCAAATATTCCTTCACCTTGCGGGTTATCCCCATTTGAATCGCTAGGGGCGGTATTCGCTCTGGTGTTATTGGCATGTTTCCTTAAATCTTTTACGTGCTTAAGTGTGAAACAAGAGTCAAGGGTATCAGACAAGGACTGCACGCAATGATAAAAGTAACCATCGTGTATTGTTAACCGCATTACAAGTAAATACTGACAAGTAAAAGTATGTAAACTGAATTTCTTTTACAGGTACTTATGATTTCATTTTTGAAAACGTTTAACCAGGGCCATTCGAAATAGAATACTTCTAATAATTTGTTGTTTTCATTTCAATTAACTCTCAGCTGTTGTTATTTTCGCTGATACACTACTCTTTCCAGTTTTTATTCCTTTTTTGCTCTTCAAAGAGCCTGAGAAAGCTCGTTGTAAATTATTGATCAATTTGATTTCTATGTTGACATGGGCTCTTTCTTTGTTGATTTAAGTTTTTGAAAACTTTCTTCTTGTCATGGTTTAGTCGCACAGTTTATCAAACCCCTCAGATAGGGTTATTCAGCCATTGACCAAGGTGACTTCATTTCCTCTTTTCTATGGTTAGCAAAACATGCATTGTTTGTTAACCTGGCATGCCTTCGCTGCAGTTGATCTTATTTTTCACAAACACAACTTCTCCTGATTCCTTTATGGACAAACGGAAAACCTGTGGTTTATAACGAACAAAGCAGAGCGCCTCTGCTGACACAAACGTCTCACTCTCACGAAATACGAAAATTGATACGAACCATGGCCATTCGTTCTTGTTCAGTTATTTCCTCGCAGTTTTTTGCTCATTGCACCCATTGATTTATAGCTTAGCAGAAGTAACCATCATAAATCTGATTAAAAAACTTACATTAAATATTCTATACAAAGCTGACTTCTGCCATCATAAAATCCCATATGTTTGTTCAGCGACAGCGAAACAGTAGGCACATGATATGCTTATAAACAATGGTTGACCATCGCTGGCCACAATACTCCGCATAGGCATGCGCAGTAGGAGGAATGCTCTGGGTTTGGGTCGAGCGCATGACTGAATAACTCATTTATTGCGTGAAGCGTCGTACAGAGGCACAGTTGGAAGCATCTCACACACAACGCGCTTTGTTTATATTTTATTATTCACCAGCGATCTGTAAGAGAAGCCCGCAACAACAAAAGTGAAAATAGAAGTGCACCTTCATCATTTTTGCTTTAGTGAAAAAAATCACCAAAAATATTAGATGAGAAATTCAATTTCAAGAAAGAAAATTTCCATTCATAACCATGCTCGAAATCCACAGGTAAACTCACCGTTTTTATTCGTTGGTAGGAACAGATAAAGACGAAACCTTGCCTGAACTTAACAGTAAAAAACGCTCACCAATAATTGTCACCAGGAACCAATCACCTTTGTTTCAGAATATATTGAGCAGTGTAGATATATCTGGTGGCGAAAAATAATGCGTTTAAGCAAAAGTTAACACAAGCAACAGTAATGGCAGAGACAATGTGAATAGACAGCAGAAAGAATAAAACAGTTATTTCTTTTCACTCTTTAAGGAAATGGTGTCAACATGCAAAACAGACCAGATTGTCCCATGAAAAATGCCATTCAAGGCTTGATCATCGAATATACTGTAGATAGAAAGATCTTTCCTACTGGGTGAGCTCCATTCCTCCAATAACCATCAGTTAAAAATACATCAACTTATCGAGATAAAAAACTAAGGCATTCCGTCCTCTTTAAAGTCACAAACAGTCGATACTGAAAGTTGAATAAAATGTGCTAAAACTTATTCATTTTGCACAGAAAGGGTGCTAATTAATGGCTTACTCAATGCAACGAGTGGAAGCTTAGATCTCATTTTAATCCTGTGCAAAAGTCAGAGTTTCAGTTTCCTGTCAACAGCGTTTAACATTGTAAAGCTGCGATAAGTAAAAATATCCATTGGTGCAAATTGAGAAGCTGTGGGGAAGGCATCTTGGCTGGTGTCCTTGCATTTTTGCAATTTCACCAAGTAAAGTGGTTAATTTGATTAAACAGCAAAATAATGCCTTTAGTGCTTAACTGACATAACCTAATAATCCTTTGGCAAAATGTGTGAATTGTTTGCTATTTCTAACTCAATTCCATTGTTGTTCCACTTGTGGGGGGTTTCTTCGCTACCTCGGACTATTTTTCCTTTACTGGTAATTTTGTATATTCTCATCACACATTTATTGACAATATTTTGATTTTGGATAGTTAAAATTACGTTTTGGTCAGCACGTAACCGAAGATGCCGTTTTTGTTTCTCCCATACAGCGCACCCGAGAAAACAACGTCGAGAAAGAACGACATTCACCAAGGCCCAACTTGAAATCCTAGAAGAGTTATTTAGCAAAACAAAATATCCCGACATCTTCATGAGGGAAGAAGTAGCAATGAAAATAAGCCTTCCAGAAAGCAGAGTGCAGGTATTTGCTTTTTCTTTTTCAATACGTTTCCACGAGCAAAAGATAGTGACGAAAGTGGAGAGTTGCTTGTTATTATAGAAGAACCCTCCCTGAAGTTAGTGCTAGTGACAGTAATTTCCACGCCCTTTTTTGGGGATGAGAGATCGCCGACACCTGGGTCCCGTCCTAGCGACAAACGCCTCTGCAAATTTCACTTTATTGCGCGATGTACTGAAGTTGCCTATTTTGTAGAGTTCTTTCGAGTATTCAGTGTCTTAAAACCAAGAATGTCAGTACGAGTTGCTTCAAACATAGGCTCAACCAAAAATATCCACAAAAGTCAAAAGAAAGAAATAAAGAGTTGATAAACTAAATGGTTATTCTGGAGAGTTATGAATTTTAGTAGCCACATTTAGCTCAAGACATCGTATGTCATTTTTAAACTTACCAAAATAGTTTGCACTAGGCTTCTAGTCAATCCATGTTTTTGGTGTGACTTATTTCAATTCTTAAAATGTTTCCTGACAACCATTCGCCTTACATATAATTGAATGAGAGAATTTATCGATAGAGCATAGACATTGATCACTATACTTTTTCGTAAGTGTGGAATCCATCTCAAGCTGGAATTTTTATTTTTTATCAGCCATGGTGTGATGAAATATCGGCTTCACAAGCATATTTCGTTGCAGGTACAAAACTGAAAAAAGAAACTGTTTTTCCTATATTTGCCTATCAGTGTACCTCTTGAAGAAAAATATAATATCAAGAGAAAGCAAATTTCTCATCATTTTGTGTCAGAGCTTGCCGGGATATGTGAAGCTGACTGGTACAGTGGGATCATTACTACAGAGAAGGAGAATCGTGTCTTTTCTTTTCTTAGTGTCAAAATTTGCTACCCTTCCAGACTTTGACATGCCAACAACCAACGTTTAACATATAGAGGTTATTTTAGTGACTGCATGCCTCAGCAGTTAATAAAAGAGACTATACGAGTTTTAATGAAAAAACGATTGAGCAGTGGGTAAACGAAGACTTATGAGGTAATTCTGCATCGTAACTAATTGATAACTAATCATTTTGTGAATCCTATTTGAGGGTATAAAGCAATCCTTTAATACCTAGCCCAACGAGAGGTTTTCCATGAAGCTCAGTCTTTAGCCCCACTGCATGAGTATTTTTATATAATTTAGAATAAAAATGTCAATTTTATCTCTGATGTCCCACAAGGCTGTAAATATCACTTCTTCCGCACACTCGTTGGTGTAATTTTGAACTGTCTGCCGTCAAATTTTAAGGTAATTCACTGAAGGTATGGGAAATTCTACTAGTTTACCAAAACAGGGGCTGACGATTCCAATTTCTTTTGTTAAAAGTATTTTTGCTTTTTGATTTTACAGCATACTTCTGCATATACACGAGATTCTCCATCTGAGTTTTTCCAGCTGTACAAAGTACATTTTCATGTCGATTGTTGTCAGCTAATAATGAAGATAATCCCTTCTTCACATCTTCCTTATCATCAAAAAACGGCTTAAGATAGTTTTTGAACCGTGATCAATGCCTGTTTACAATAACTGTGTTACACCCTATCCCAGGAAAAAATTACAAGGAGTAATATGACTGTCACTAAGCTAAATTTTCTGGACAGTCACATCGTTGTTTAATATTTTGGAGTTGTACCTTTACTACCAGGTTATCTAGCCATTTTATTTTTGGAGCGGTTGCTGTAGAATGCCATCATGAATTGTCATTATATATTTAGCAAACAGTCTTAAAATAGATCTTTCTTTGTCTTTGCCTTTCCAGAGGCTCAAAACAGAAAAAGGCAACACCCTAATCTTAGTTTTTGTTTTTTGTTACATTTATAGTTCGATTTCAGGAAATACCATTCAGTCATTTCTTATGAAACAAGTAGGCAAAGGAAACGAAACATTAAAATTTAAAGTGGCTATGTGGTTTCGAAGATATGTACCTTCTCTGAATAGCCTACATAGAAAGGAACACTTGTAATATTTCGCTTATTTCGTCAGGCAATGGAAGAAGAGAACCGATCTTAAGCTGCTAAACTAGGTTAACGAGACAAAAGAAGCAATATGTTTCCGAAGATAGGAACTAATGCTAGATATCGAACAAACAAAGGAATATTTCTGATCTTTGTTTTTCTTTTTTTTTTTTTTTTTTTTTTTTTTTTTTTTGGCGTATGTCACAGAATGGAACTCGATCTTAGTCGCCTAAATTAGCTTAAAGGAAACAAGTACTGTTTTATCAGTTGTGATCTAACAGCGAGGATTACTTTCAACAAAGACTTTGGTAATAAAAACTGTCTGGCCTTCACAGTCACGGAATTTCAAGTCACGAATACGGGTTTAATTTTCAATAAAATTTCTTGAAAGATATTTGATGATAACAGCATTACCAATCTCGTTGAATGTTTTGGTAATACAAATACCTTATAAAACACAAGTTTTCTCTAACTTGATCCCAACCTATTTAATGTCGTCTTTCTTTTCATTTCCTTGAATGAAGAAGGTTGAGGATTTGAAAAGTTGTGATGTGATAGAGGAATGTTTTTCATACGAAAACGACTGAGCTGTCGTTGCTAACAGGAGAATCATAAAAAAGGTTATTATAGTTCCTTTTAAGTTGAAAATCTTTGTTGCAATCATTTTGTGAGGGCTGGATGCTTTCTGCCCCACAAATGTTAACAATAAGCAGCTCTTTCATTTACCGCTGTTAATTGTGATACTTGGATACTAACGGTTAGACTCTGCGTGAAACCCTAGTGTGTGACCATTCCAGTGAAAGCAAAAGAGCTTTTCTTCCTTGTGGTACTGTTTTTCTTGCCATAGGACTAGTTTTGCCTCTGATCCGTTAAGTCATTCATATGCAGTATTAGGCGAACAAATGACTAGAATAGAGAGGGTTACTAGTTTGGGGTTCACTACCAATTTCTCCGAACTAATTTAAGAGGAAAACTAAGGCAGCTGGAAGGGAGAATTTCTGATGCGAGCGAGTGAGGATACAAACCGCACTTTTCGGATGACGGTGGAAGCGACAATATTCAGTTAGGAAATTGTTTTTTCTCGCCAGACAAAAACATTTTTTTAAAACCCTTAATCCCGGTTGTGGGGTAAATCCCGTATCACCGGTCTGGATAATCCACAAAGGAACGAAGACGTCTTCCAGAGAAAATGCGATCAGGATATCAGTGATAGAGCAAAAGATAAGGCATGTTGACAGGTGCCAACCTTGGCAGCCTGGGTACGAAGTTAAACAGGTGTAACATCCGAACAAGCCTTACACGATTCCGCTAATTTTTTTTTTCTTTACCCTTCATGGGAGGGAAAAGTTATTCACCGCAAGAATTTGCTGTGGTTACACAACAGGATATCTTATATTGGTTGATTACGGCTAAAAATAAAGCTGTCTTGTTTGTGCATCATCAACTGAGGTGCAGTGAGAGATGCGCCATACATTTGAAAATACATTCAAACACAATGAACGAGTAACTCGATATCTTCTCCCTGCCGGAATCACTTGTCGGGGATCAACAAACATTAACCTTTCTCCGCCTTGAAATTCGTAAAACTTCACATGAATTTTGGTTCTATATTGTTTATCGTGTACTATTCGTTTCTCTGAGTTTTCGGGAAAGCATATTTCGGACTTCACGACAAATAGAGACATTTTTAAGGTGACAGAGAACCCTTCATAACTTGAATAAAAATATGAAAGGACTTAACTGGGATGACGAAACGTGAAAAGAGAAGATGACACCAAAAAAGGTTGAGGTTGTGTTAAAATTACAAAGGGTCAAGTCTTCACGCCCCAACATCAAAATTGATATTCTCCACACTAGTCTCTACATTTCCTGGGATACTGACCAGAAGAATTTGTGTGACAATCAGGGGCAGCTTAATGAAGTGATGTGATCATTTCCTTCATCCTCATAACCTTTGTATTTGGTTCAAGGGTGATACTGTCAGGAAAAATTGAACGCCAGTCAGTCTTGGGGGTTGAAATTAATTGTAGATGATGAACTTGAAACATTTGAGCTGAATGAACTAAGGACATACTGTGACGTGCTCCTTTCATTCCTGAGATCGACATGTAACTTCTCCTTATAATATTAGTGCATTATCTAAAAGAGAAAGGATGAGAATAAACTCGCTTGTTGGCTGCGAGGTATTATTTTGATGGCACACCACCTTCTCTGTACTGGTACGGCAGGTTGCCAGGTGACGTTTGAAACAGATATGAGGGTTAATCGGTAACACAAAGCAAGATTTTAGAATTTGTTTCCGTATGCATTGTGATTAAACTAAGCGTTTCAATTGTATTTTTTTTCACCGATTAAGGTTTGGTTCAAAAACAGAAGAGCCAAATGTCGGCAACTGGACAAAGCCGCGGAAAATAAAAGAAAACTCGAAAAGAAATCACCTCCTGGAACAATTCCGACGTCCAAACTTGAACAAAAGAAATCAAGTCCTTCCCCATATCAGCTTCCCAGCTGCAGCGCAAATATGAATAACATGTGGAATGGGCCAGCATCTACTCCGCTGACACACAGTCAAAATTACCCCACCCCTCCCGTGCTGACAAACAATTCCGGTCCGGTGTTTATGCCTCCCCCACATCCTCCCCCTGCGCCGGCACCCCCACCGTATTATCGGCCGAACTCGGACTGTTCGTACATGTCAACATCACCTTACATGCACATGAATAGGCCTGGGGAGCAGGCGTACCCACCGACTCACATGTAACGACCATCCAACTGTTAGATTTTCGCAAAACAGTGATGCACATGATTCGTCAGCTCCAATGGAATATCCACTACAGAGACCTCACGAGTATCTCACGAAGACTGCCGAAGGCATCCAAGGGGTACGGAAGCATCAAGGAGTACGGATGGACGACGTTAACGGAATTCGGTTGAATTCTCAAAGGCAATTTTTTTAAAAAATAAAAATATAGTTGGCGGAATGTTGTAGATACGATTAAAAGCGCACAGCTTTTCACTAGACGCCGTGTATATTAGCTAGCATAAATATCACGTTTAGAAGTTTTAAACACATTTATTCTTACTGAAGACTGGACTGGTCGTCTCGGAAAAACAGAAATGGTTGGCTGACCCCCAACATAAAATATAGAACGTCAGCGATGGTTTCCAGGTCTTTCTCGTTTCTCAACAGAGCCACAAGTCTTCCCTTGTTATTTTAGAGTCATCTTTGTTATCTATTGCTTCGTGTTTGTCATGCTCTTCTTCGATTCAATTTACGATGCTGGTTGCATTTGTAGAAATCAAAAGTCCCATTTAAAGTTCAATACAAAAGGAAAACTTAAAAACTGTTTGAGATTTCTTTTATCGGACTACACAGTCACCATCCATTCGGTTTTCATGAGTCTCGAAGAACGTTTGAGGCGGGGGGGAGCATTCCCTTATTTTAGCCAGGAAGGTCGTGTGACATCGTTCCATCAGGGTTTTATCGGGACCAATGCTCCCCATTGAAATTATCAAGGGTTATAAAGTAACTCGTACCCAGTTCATTACATATTAAATATTCCTCCTATCGGAGGACTGGGCGGGGGACTCAAGGTTCGGATTCGAAAAAGATTTTGCAGAACAGTAGGTGCATGCTACTGGAAGTATAAACACGTTCTTAAATTATGATGTGGTTAAAATCCAAGTTTTCCGTGACGTCCAGTAGGGTTGGTCGAACATCGGTTGGGTCCAGAGCTATAACTGACCTTCAGTTATAGCATTAGGACATGAAAGTTATCTTTCATAAGAAGGTCAAGCAGCATCTAATGCCATCAAACGACCTTAAACCCTTCCCCTGTTCTATCACATTTTTGGCCTCTCTACATGCAAACCAGTAACCGCTGTAATTCAAGGCATGCTGCTCTACGATGATTGTAGATTGAAAGATCACGTTAGGGTATGCAGAGATTATCTCTTGTGTTTTGCCATTTGTATCTTTTCTCTCTTGTGGTTTGGACTAACGTTAAGTCTGCCACAATTTCGGTTGGGTTTCGAAGATGGTCAAGCAGTCCGTTACTATGGTCATTTCCCTCCTTGTTCCTCCACCCCTCTCCCCCCAGTCCCTCACCCTTCGCCCTCCCCCCTCTTTCTCCCCTTCCATACCAGGAAAATCACATTGCCCCAAACGGAAAGTCACTCGACCCCGAACAAAAGTGAATTCGTCCCATGCTACGGAAATTTAAGATAATATCCTTCGTAGAGTGCCAAACTGGCCAAAACTGTGTATAACCTACAGAACCAGTTCATCAAAAAACGTCTGTACAATAAAAAAGACACAAAAAATAAGTTAAAAAGTAAGTTATAAATAGCATAATCAAATCTGAATAAGTTTCATGAAGCCTTGCTCCTGTTCTTTCTGTGAAAGGAATCCATTCTTTCTTGCTTCTCTCCGCGGCACAGAACACAGCTGTACTTGCTTTTCGTCCGGGCGAGTTGTGCATAAGCTTTTTCGTCGATACCATCACAATCTGAAAAGTAAAAACTATGTAGGTTAACGTACAATTGCGTTTTTCTGTTGAAACATATTTGTCATTGTTTTCCCAAAAACCACCTAGGTGTTCGAGGGGGGTTACATTGCATATACAATGTTAAAGTTACCTTCGTTGCGACAGAGTAAGATATCTGTAAACCAAAACTAAATACAGTTATTCTTTGTAAATCTGGAAAACCTTTCAGGCGTGCTTCCAAGTAAAAGAAAATCAAATGTCAAGCACAAGCTTAAAGTAATTTATCAAAATATAGACATACATGTGCATTCAATACCTTAATTTACAACGTAACGAGAAACTAAGATCAGGTGGTTCTGTTTCCACCTAAATTGTCACAAACATGTATATATAGTCTTTACCTATTCACATGATTTAAGTGATATCACTAATAATCACCACACAAGACGTATACCCAACCCTGTCTGAAATAACCTTGGTTTTCAAAGCACACTACTAGCAATACTGCCCCTTCCACCTTGAGTTACCGCCCAGACATTTGCCAGTACCCAGCTATACTCATAGGGAGCCCGAGGCGACGCATCACGAGAGTAAAGTGTTTTGCTTAAGAATACAACGCGGCGATCCAGCCAGGACTCGAACCCAAACCTCTGTTTTGGGATTCAGCGCTGTAATGTCTTCCAAATCAAAACTATATAAGGACAAAAGAGTAGTTCAGTCAAACCTGTGTGAATCCAGCGGTCACACATGTCACAACACACCATAGGCAAATCAGACTCGTCATTGCGGTAAACTTTCAAACAAACCGGGCAGAAGTTACCGGCTCGGAACAACCTGTGAGAGGAACAATGTAAAACGCAACATCAACAAGAGCGCAAAGTAAACACAAAAGAGAAGACTGGAAAGAGGACACCACATTGTAAGTCATTCAACCTGTGAAAGGAACAATG